CAAGTAGGTAATAAGAGAAAGGGAGGTCCTGTGACTTGGTCCAGTACCCATTCTCTCTTAACTTGTTTATCACTTAGACAATATAGTCTTCAAGTACAAGAGGATATAGCATAAAACATGAATATTTCCCTTTTTTTTCTTTTATTGTTAAGATAATTTTAAGAGAAAAGGCACTGTTCTGTTGCCCAGGCTCAAGTGCAGTTGACACAATCATACATAGCTCACTGTAATCTCGAACTCCTGGGCTGAAGCGATCCTCCTGCCTCAGCCTCCCGAGTAGTAGCTAGGATTACAAATGTGTGTCACCACACTTGGCTAATTTTTCTGTATTTTTGGTAGAGATGAGGTCTCACTATGTTGCCCAGGCTAGTTTTGAACTCCTGGCCTCAAGCAATCCTTCTGCCTTGGCCTCCCAATGTGCTGGGCTTACAGGCATGAGCCACCACACCCAGCCAAATGTTTCCCATTATACATCATCCCCCTTTTCAGACCTAAACCTGGTCAACACTGTAGTGTACATCTTTCACTATCCTTTGCATTTATGCAAGCATGTGTGTGTGTGAACAAATGGCATTATATTTTTTGAATGTTTTTTCACTTGTCTTGAGGAGGTTTCCATTATCAGTCATGTACATTTAAAAAATGCATAATATATTGTAGTGTAGGCTGTTCTTTGTTTTCCTTATCTGGTGAGTTTCACTATATTAATAGTCTTTGTTTCTGTTTTGAGTGTGTGATGTGGCATGAAATCCTTGTATGTATATCTTCGTGTACATTTGTAACTTTAATGTCTTGTTTTTTTCATTGTGAATATAAATTCCTTGATAGGAATTATATTCTCACATTGTTTTGTAATTTGGTTCAAGATCTGTCTCATAGGATTGAGCAAATATATTAGCATATACCCAAACTAGTATTTTTAGTTATTTGAAGCTGTTGCTATGCCAATTTCTATTACTGATATATTCATTAACATAATATTGTCATTAATGTACACTTGAAAGTACACTCAAATGTATAAATTAACCCTTTGATTTGCTCTATTATGATGTCATTCTTTTATGGCTGGGCTTGGTGGCTCACGCCTCTAATGCTAGCACTTCGGGAGGCTGAGGTGGGAGGATTGCTTGAGGTCAGGAGTTCGAGACCACCCTGAACAAAAGAGAGACCCCATCTCTACAAAAAATAGAAAAAACTAGCAGGGTGTAGTGGTGCACGCCTGTAGTCTCAGCTACCGGGGAGGCTGAGGCAGGAGGATCACCTGGGCCTGGGAGTTTAGACTACATGAGCTATGATGAGGCCACTGCACTCTAACCCCAGTGACAGAGTGAGACCCTGTCTCAAAAAAACCCCAAGAAACAAAAAATTACTTGATGGTTGAATTCTTTCTTCAGTCTCCTAGAAAAATAGTTGTCAGAACTGTATTTGAACTACTTAGATATCTGGGAGCTTACTAACCCCAAGGAAGCTTGTTCCACCTTTGGAAAGCTGTGATTATTAGTAAGTATTTTCTTTTTTTAAATTTTTTTTTTAATTTTAGCATATTATGAGGGTACAAGTGTTAAGGGTACTTACATTGCCCATGCTCCTCCCCCCTCGAGTAAGAGCTTCAAGCATGACCATCCCCCAAATAAATATTTTCTAATATTGAGGGGAGTTAAAATCTGACTCACCAGAGTCCCTTGGGGCCATAATAAATCTATTTGTGCTTGTTAATGAAATGTTCCTTAGTTGATTGATAACTAGGTTCACATCTTAGTTGATTTTTCTCTTCTCCATCTACTTCTGTTCCCTGATTTTTTTTAATATAGCTTGATTTTGAGACACTCGTATGATTTATTCATACCCGTTTTTTGAAATGTCTTAGCACATAGATATTGTTTTGGAGGGCAGCAGTTTGCTTTAAAACCAGCCTCAGTAGAGATTTCTCATGTTGCTCATACTATGTCCTCTTTAAGTTAGTTTTATACCACATAGCTTTATCTCAGTCATGCCATACTGTAATCCTTATTCTTGACTAGTTATGTTTTTTAATTTATCTGATTATCTGGTCGTATTTTGTTTTGTTGTTGTTTGGTTTTTTTTGTTTCTAGACAGGGTCTCACTCTTGCCCAGGGTAGGGTGCAGTGGCATCATCACAGCTCGCTGCAACCTCAAACTTCTGGGCTCAAGTGGTCCAGCCTCCCAAGTAGTTGGGACTACAGGTGTGTACCACTATACCTGGCTAATTTGTCTATTTTTTGTAGGGACAGGGTCTTGCTCTTGCTCAGGCTGGTCTTGAACTCCTGGCCTCAGTGATCCTTCTGCTTCTCTTTCCAATTGATTCTTTTATTAGCCAGTCAGCCAACAGTCCTTACTTAGGGTTTTTTGGGTTGGTTTTTTTTTTTTTTTTTGAGACAGAGTTTCACTCTGTTGCCCTGGCTAGAGTGCTGTGGCATCAGCTTAGCTCACAGCAACCTCAAATTCCCGGGCTCAAGCAATCCTCCTGCCTCAGCCTCCCAAGTAGCTGGGACTACAGGCATGGGCCACCATGCCCAGCTAATTTTTTCTATATATATTAGTTGGCCAATTAATTTCTTTCTATTTTTAGTAGAGACAGGGTCTCGCTCTTGTTCAGGCTGGTTTCAAACTCCTGATCTTGAGCAATCCGCCTGCCTCGGCCTCCCAGAGTGCTAGGATTACAGGAGTGAGCCACTGCGCCTGGCCTGGACTTAGGGTTTTCTTTCTGCAATTGATTCTTTTCTGCTTCTCCTTCTAAAATGCTAGGATTATAGGCATGAGCTACTGCGCCTGGCTTGGTCACACTTATTTGTAAATTTGTTTGCTTGAATATATAACTACTATAGGACTTCATATGTCTTTTTCTTTTAATTTTTTATTTCTCTTTTTATTTTTTTGTCATAAAAATGAGCAATGATCTTGCTAAATTCATATTTATTTCTTTACATTTTATTAATCCTTTTGAATCTCGATCCAGTGAGTTTGCTATCCTTTTTAATTTGGGATATTGTACAAAATTGACCACATTCTTTGTTTTATACATATTCAGGTTGTTGGCAAGAAAGTTAAATAGGCAGAGTCATTTTTCCTTTTTTTTAAAATTTTACTTTTTATTTTTTGAGGCAGGGTCTTGCTCCATTGTCCAGGTTAGAGTTTAGTGACATCATCATAGCTCATTGCAACCTCAAACTCTGGGCTTAAGTGATCCTCCTGCCTCAGTCTCCTGAGTAGCTGGGACTAATGGTGTGCTCTGCCACCACTGGCTAATTTTCTATTTTTTTGCGGAGACAGGGTCTCACTATGTTGTGCAGGCTGGTCTAAAAATCCTTACTTCAAGCAATCTGTCACTTCAGCCTCCCAAAGTGCTAGGATTACAGATCTAAGCCACCACACCCAGCCTCATTTTTAGATACTGTATGCAAAGTTAAGTCCCAGACCTGTGTGCTGTAGATACTGTAGACCTCTTTCTTTTTACCAAAAACTTGCCTGTGATTAACACTGGCCTAGTTTTTTTTTGTTTGTTTTGTTTTTTTTAAAGATCTGCCTTCTTAATCTTTTATAAAAACTGAAACACTCTTTTCTTGACTTTTCCTAAGGTTTTCATTTGCTTCTCACTCTCTAGATCCAGTAAATGCATTATTTTTATTTTTTTATTTATTTTTTTTTTATTTATTTATTTTTTTTTTTTTGTTTTAGTCATAAGTGCTTTTGCTTAATGCATTATTTTTAGAAAGGTCTCCTCTGACTACCTGCTCCCAAGTGGCCTCCATGGTTATGAAGAGCATTACTATTTTATTAGGTCACCTAACTTTGTTCATAGTTTATCATTTGTTACCCCTCTTGTAGAATGTAAGTTCCGTGAAGTCAGATACTATGTCTGTGTAAAGCATAGTGCTTGGGCTGTCCGTGTTTTATTGTACTTTTACTTTGTGTATAGTTTTTGTAACAAAACCAAAAGGAATATTTACTGTATTGTTTTGAATTATTGTTGTTGTTTTTTTTCTTAATTTAAAGACAAGGTCTTATTATTTTGCTGATCTTGAGTTTCTGGCCTCAAGTGATCCTCCCGCCTCAGCCTCTGAAAGTACTGGGATTACAGGCATGAGCTACTGTACTCAGCCACTTTTTTGAATTATTGTACTCCCTTTTCACCAACCCTTCAGAGATTTTGAGACATTCTGGTCATATATCTCCAATTGGAAAAATCTCTGCTTTGATCATCCATTAATGATATCTGTAATTATCTTTGTATCTTGCTCAATTTCTTTCCAAAAGGATTTCATGGAAGATGTTGCCCAGATACATGTAACAATGGATGGATTTTTAGGGATTTTGTCTCAGATATGAGAAAAGCCTCTAGTTTGGTAAATAATGTCTAATTGGAAATTCCTAGTAGAAAGTTCCTAGTGTTCAGTAAGAGTATTTATTTTATTTTCCTGACATATGCTCATCATAGGTAGGATTAGGTACTTGTTCTTTGTGAATTTGTGTGGGGTCTTATTAATAAGTTATATCCTTACTAGTTCACTTGGAGTGTTGTCTGATGTAAGGGCCACCAGTCTGTTTTTTGAGGATTCCATCTTTATTTGAAAAACAATGCTCTTCAAAGAACATTGACCACAATTCAGCAATTTGATTTATATGTACGTTCTTTTAGTTTAGTTTTAAATTAACGTTATCTGTCCTGTGTTATGAGGCTAAGTGAAGTATGTTGTGATATAGAAGCTAGAAGGTTTTTTAGGATTCCAAAAAGTTTGTCATATCCATTTGTTCTTAAGTACAAAAGTAATCACTGTTCCCATCTGTTGTAGACAGAATGGTGCTGTTATTTTTCTGGCATCAAGTTTTATACTTGTCCTTGAAATTTTGTAATTTGAAAGTCCATAAATAAAGCAGCATCTGTATGACTTAATATGTATTCTGAAGAGAACTGTGGTTGTTAATGTATTTTTGAAAAGTATGTTTTCTGTTTTAATATTATGTATCTTTTCTCCCCCCAGAGAATGGATCTTGGAGAATGTCTGAAAGTCCATGACCTGGCTTTAAGAGCAGATTATGAAATTGCATCCAAAGAACAAGACTTTTTCTTTGAACTTGACGTATGTGATTTTGCTTTAATGGATTATATTTCCTTTTTGCAATAAAATATTTTCAATATGGATTAATATGTCAATAGGAAAATCTTAGCAAATTATCTTCATTGTGGTTATATGAAGTATAATATATACTTAAGTAAGATCATGTACTTTCTTGATAACACTTTTTAAAATATGAAGTGAGACTGAGTATTTTAGGAAAATGTGTAAAAGTCATGTAATTTATATGTTCCTTTGAAAATTAAGCATATTCTTGCCAATAAAATGTAATGATTAAAGAAATATCACTTTAAACAAATGTAATCAACTAATTTCTAGTGTATATAAGGATCTTTCTCCAGTTATTCTGAATTTTTTAGATTCATTTATTTTTCATGTCTATATACGTATATACAGTCAGCCTCCTGTATCCATGATTTCTGCATCTGTGGATTCAAAATGTTCTTGGATTGAGAACCAAAAACCTTGCATTGAAAATATTCAGGGAAAAAAGATGGATTGTGTGTCTGTACTGAACATGTATTGATGTAGACGTTTTTCCTTGTCATTATTCCCTAAACATTACAGTATAATATTTACAGGGCATTTACATTGTATTAGGTATTATAGGTAAACTAGAGATAATTTAAAATATATGGGAGCATGTGTGTAAATTACATGCAAATACTGCACCCTTTTATATAAGGGACTTGAGCATCCTGGAATCAGTCCTCCCTGGATACTGAGGAACCACTGTATATGCATATGGGGGGTGGGTATTTTTTTTTTCTGTCCCCTCCCCTCCCTCTGGGGGTGGGTATTAAGCATGATGTTTTTAATGTAAAACTAATAGAAGAAATAGAGCATTTAGATATACCATTTAGATATCTAAAAGGACCCAAAATGTGACCATATTGTGCTTTTACATGAAAATTGCTTGTGTAAAAATAAGGAAACTTTTTTCACATTTTTAGAAAGGGTTTATATAAAGCATCTATATAAAGCATTAGCATTACATAAAACATACTAATATGCATAAATCTCATGACACATTTTATTAATGAGATAGTATGTGTTTTTATTTGGTTTGGGATTTCAAGCAATACATAGGCTCCCTGTCTTCTCTGAACATCTAAGAATTTCTGCTAATGGAAATGAAAATTATTTTTGTAAATATAATTTAATATATGGCTGGAACAATCGAGTGAAACACCTTAAAGTAATTTGATTATGATTTAATACACTTATAATACACTCTGGGCTTAAATCACAGCAGGGCTCATCATCATTAGGCTGTTTTCAGTCTTCTTCTATTATAATATGATGATACATTATTTTCACATACTGAGTATTTATAGGATAAATATGTAGAAATTGAACAGCTAAGTCAGATAGTAATTTTATAAATATTGCTAAGTTGGTGTTTCTGAGAATTAGTGATTCACACTCCCACCAGTAATTTGTGAAATTATCTCTTTCCCATCTGACCACATAATGTGCTGTCCAGATTTCTTTAGGCAACTTAGATAGATGAAATGTGGAATATAAGTATAGTTTTAATCTGCATTTATTTCTCTTATGAGTGAGTTTGTGAACATACTGCATGTATTTAGGATCTAGTTATGTTTCCTTTTTAGTGAACTGTCATTATGCAACTATTTGGGAGTTATTGGCTAATCTTGGATATTAGCATTTTTCTAATTGATTTGTACTAAAGTACTCTTTACATATTATGGAAATTAGATTTTTCCTTAGATATATACATTGCAAATATTTTTTCATTTTTGTTTTTTTGAGACAGAGTCTTACTCTGTTGCCCTGTGTAGAGAGCACTGGTGTCATCATAGCTCACTGCTGAACCTCAAACTTCTGGTCTCAAGGGATCCTCCTGCCTCAGCCTCCTGAGTAACTGGGACTTCAGGCTCATGCCCTGATACCCAGCTAATTTTTCTATTTTTAGTAGAGATGGAGTCTTGCTCTTCCTCAGGCTGGTCTTGAATTCCTGAGCTCAAGCAATCCTCCCACCCTGGCCTCCCCAGAATGCTGGGATTATGGGGATGAGCCACCTCACCAGGCTGGGTTTTCTTTTCTTTGTTTTTGCTTTGGAGAATTTGGAGAATTTTTTTTTTTAATATTTTATGTTATTTTTCTTTTTTCTTTTTAATTATTGAGCAGTTAGAAGAGATGCCTTGGAGAATTTTATTTTTTCATTTTTTTTTATTTTGAGGTGATAAGAGTTCTTTCCAGTGGTTTCTTCGGGTATTTTTTGGGTTAATTTTATATACCTAAATCTTTGATCCATCTTGAATTTATTCTGGTCTAAGGAATTGAGGTATGGATCTACTCCTTCCCCCAAATAGTTACTTAGTTACCCAACACTGTTGATTAGTGCATCTTTTCTCATACTGCTTTTCAGAGGCCACCTTTATCTTCACATAAGGAAATTTGAATAGATTTCTATTGTGGTTTAAAAGATAATTTGCAAATTTAGAAAATGAAATAGTTATTTTTATGTCATCACAGTTAAAAGTTTTTAAATGATCCTTACTGCTTTTTACTTTGAGGAAATTCTTGTATTATTTCTGTGTAAAGATATTTTCAATAAGTTGATTTTCTGGTAGTAATTGTCTTTTAATTAAACTTTGTAGGCCATGGATCATCTGCAGTCATTCATTGCAGATTGTGATAGAAGAACAGAAGTGGCTAAGAAAAGGTTAGCAGAAACTCAAGAGGAGATTAGTGCTGAAGTGGCAGCAAAGGTAAGAATTTCAGTCATTTAATTAGTACAAAGTATAGTTTTAATTCACTATTTTTGTTCCATTTAACTTTTTATTTTGAAATAATTAGATTTTCAGGAGATTGCAAAGACGTACGCAAGGAATTCTGTGTAGTCTTTCTCGCCTACGCTAATGTTAACATATTTCACAACTATCATGATGCCAGAGAAATTGACATTAGCCTTATCTTTCTATTTTATTCAGATTTCACCAGTTATCCATGCATTTATTTATGTATGCATGTGTGCATGTATAGCTCTATGCAATTTTAGCAAATGTATAATTACCACCATAGTTAAGATACTTAACTAGAGCATCACCAGAAAATGTCCTCATGTTACTTCCTTTATAGCCACACCTACCCTCTCCCTGACCATCCCTAGCCCCTGGCAGCCACTAATCTGTTCTCCATCTCTGTTATTTTATGGAGCGTTACATAAATGGAATCCCGCAGTCTGTATCTTTCTGAGATTGTCGTTTTTCTCTCAGCACAACTTCCTTGAGATTCATCTAACTTGTTTGTATCACTAGTTCATTCCTTTTTATTTGAGTAGTACTCCACTCAGAGTACCGGATATACCACAGTTTATTCACACACTGAAGGACATCTGGATTGTGTCCAGTTATTGGCTAATACCAACAAAGCTGCAGTAAACATTTGCATACATATTTTTTGTGTCGACATACAATTTCATTTCTCTTGGGTAAATGCCCAAGCATGCAGTTGCTGGGTCATAAGTTGAATCTGTTTCTAGTTTTTTTTTTTTTTTTTTTTTTTTTTTTTTTTTTTTTTTGAGACAGAGTCTCCCTTGTTGCCCAGGCTAGAGTGAGTGCCGTGGCGTCAGCCTAGCTCACAGCAACCTCAAACTCCTGGGCTCAAGCAATCCTGCTGCCTCAGCCTCCCGAGTAGCTGGGACTACAGGCATGCGCCACCATGCCCGGCTAATTTTATATATATATTAGTTGGCCAATTAATTTCTTTCTATTTATAGTAGAGACGGGGTCTCGCTCTTGCTCAGGCTGGTTTCGAACTCCTGACCTCGAGCAATCCGCCCGCCTCAGCCTCCCAGAGTGCTAGGATTACAGGCGTGAGCCACCGCGCCCGGCTTGTTTCTAGTTTTGAAAGCAACTGCCAAATTGTTTTCTAGAGTGACTATACTATTTTACATTCCTACCAGCTATGTATAAGTGATCCAGTTTCTCCACATCTGTGATAGCATTTGGTTGCATCACTATATTTCATTTTATCCAGTCTAGTAATATCTTATTGTGGTTTTGGTTTGTTTCCCTAATGACTAATGATGTTGAACATTTTTTTACGTGTGTTTGTTATCTGTATATCCTCGTCAGCAAAATATTTTGTGTAGCTTTTGCCAATTTTCTAATTGGATTGCTGCTTTTTAAGTGTGAAGTTTTGTTTTACTGGACTCACTACTTTTAAAAAATGTTTTGTTGTGAAGTTACACAGAATATGTAGGGAGAAAAGTACAGTGAATTCCAGTGGATCCAAGTTTCAAAGCTAACAGTTTTTTGTTTTTGTTTTAGTTGCTTTTAAAAGCAAATTTTCAGATACCATATAATTTTAGCTGTAAAATATAACCATACTATCACATCAATATATTATGGTAAAATATAACCATAATATTACAGTAAAGTTAATAATAATTCTTTAATGTTATCTAATCAGTATATGTTCATTGTTCTCGGTCAGTTTGTTATCAGAATTCAAACAAGGTCCTATATATTGCATTTGGTTGATTTGATGACTTACTACTTTATAACATTATTCTGTCAGTTAATATACTAGTTCATTTTATGAAAATGCAGAATGGGAGAAAAAGATTTACCCAGGTAGAGTTCAGATGACAGCATTAAAATAATGTTCAGATATGTGTGTACAAAGGGAAATTGATTCCCTTGTTTGAGAAGAAGGTTACTTTTTTTCTGAAGATGGATACTTTAAGATGGGCATCCTAAAGCACAAGAGATGTAGCTAGTATCGCATGGTTGAGAGACCCATGACGAGTGCTTGGAAGAGGCCGAGTTGTATTGCGTATCTATCACTACAAAAGTGCTATGTAACAGACCACCTCAAAACTCAGTGACTTAAACAGTAAATATTTAGTCCATGACTTTACAGTCGATGATTTAGGCTGAACTTGACTGAGCACCTATTTCTGCCTAAGCTGGGCTTCACATACCTTACAGTTAGCTGGAGGCTACTGAGCCATGCCCAGAAGGCTAGCCTGGCCATGTTGTGCTACCATCAAGGTGGTGGCAGAGGAGCAAAAGCATCAAGCCCAGTCACACAAGTGCTTTTCAAACCTTTCTTGGGTCATGCTTTATACCATCCCAGTAGCCAAAGCAAGTTTATGTGCAAACTCAGAGTCAGAGTATGATGGCACACAGTTTCATGAGAAAGGGCATGGAAACAGGGAAGGGTGAAGAGTTTGGGGCATCAGAGCAGTCATTGAATGACATAATTAAAGGAAATACCATTTTGGCAGAGAGGGTAGATAGTGAAAATAGAGATGGGAATCTTGTTGAGTGTAGGAAGATCTTGGATTGAAGGAAATTTGAAAAGTAAAGATTGTTGGCAGACTAGTTTGTTGGGACTGGATGTTCATACCAAATTAAGACCTTTGCTAATATAATTGGCTACGTAGCAAACTAAATACTAATTCTGTGGCCAAAATAAAGACTATGTATATATATCATATGCAATTAAAATAGTAGGAATGAACTATGTTCTTACGATGCTGCTGCTGAGGAGGAACATATCAGATCCCAAGGCAAGAATTAATCCCAGTGGAAAGGCAAGGACTAAGGAGTAGGGGCACCACGTTAGTATACTGCAGATCAACACGGGGCTGTGCAGTCTGTGTGCAAGGCACACTTTCTCATTTCTCACAACTTTGTGGGATAAGTACTATTCTTATTTCTTAGATAAGGAAATGCATTCAGATTTAAGTAATTTGGCCAAAATTATACAACTAGTAATTGGTTTAGCAGTAGGCCAAATCTGTTGCACTTCTGAGCTATATCTACTAGTTGCTTTATAACAGAGCCACCAATTCATTTCTTAAACTCATTATTTGAGCCTATGCTGTTTGTTGGGCATTGGAGATACAAACATGGGAAATACAGATAGCTATCCTTAAATAGTATGATATTTATGAGAGTAATTGTCAAAAAAGATACAAAAGTTTGGCACAAAGGAAAGGGCATACATGTGTTTAAGTGAGGATGAGATGGGGTATTTGTTAAGGAATGCTTCACTGAAAAGACTCTTGAGATGGGTCTTGTTGGATGAATGGACATTCACTAGGTAGGCAAGGGGGGTGTCTGAGAGGTAAAGAGTGGTATCTCAGGAAGAGGGAACAGTATGTGTAGTCAGAAAGCAACAAGGTAAGTTTGGGAAACTAAAAATAACTATAGATTGTGGTGTGAGGTGGGGGGATAGTGAGAGATGATTTAGGAAGGTATGGATGACTAGATCATGGAAGAAAAGGTATTTTACACCTGGAGCACACTGCCCAAGCAGACACTGGGAAGTTAGATTGGGATTGGTAGTATCCCTGACCTCACCAAGATAAATAAAGGCAGGCAGGCTCAAAACAGCCTGATGTCTCATCAGCTCGTTTGGGAGATGCCTAGAAATCATTGTTTATACTCATATTGACTTAGATAACAAGTCTTTTCTGAGCATTTTTGAAGTACTTTGAAGTTAAATATTCATTTTGTTGTTTATGCATGATCTTCTACTTCCTTTTAGGCAGAACGTGTTCATGAGTTAAATGAAGAAATTGGTAAATTGTTAGCCAAGGTGGAACAACTAGGAGCAGAAGGGAATGTGGAAGAATCCCAGAAAGTAATGGATGAAGTCGAGAAAGCACGGGCAAAGAAGAGAGAAGCGGAGGTACATTCTTAATAGGAGTAGATAAAACTTTAATATCTGTACTGCTTGAAGAACATGTTTGGAAATTATTGAAAAGTTATTAAAGAGAATTTAAAGCAATTTAAAAATATTGGAGTGGTTCATATCATAGTAATAGATTTTGTTTCAAAATTAGTCTTTTTTGTGGAATTTGGAGCCATTGATCTGTTGAAATTTATAACTGGTAAACAAAATTAAATTAGTAGCCAGTCATACATGCTCCACAGTTATACACACACAACAGATATACATCCACACTCTGCATATACTTGGTCACTTTGATACCCTGTCCCCTGCTCAGCCCCCTTGCAACTGTAGCATTCTCCTTTCTCTTCCCACCCCAGTACAATCTGGTAGCATCTTGAGAGCCTTTTCTCATTGTTCCTTCAGCACAGGTCCAAAACTGATATCCTACAGACACAGTTTTGTTTCTGTTGGTGCACCTGATTTTTTTTTAGAAAATCGAGTTTCTTTGTCTTTACTCTTTTGCCGTAGTCTCCACTGCTTCTAACTGTATCACACCTGGCCTGCTTTATAGTAACCTGCTTGGCCTCCATAGATACCTGAGCTTGGGGTCTCTCCTCTGCAGTGTTTTGTGTCAATCCTGGGCACTCCTCCTCTTTTTTTTTTTCCTCCTCTTTTTTTTTTTTCCTCCTCTTAAACCTCTTACCAATTTTTTTGTTTTCTGTTTTTGTTAAGAGAGCAGGGTCTATTATGGCAAGGTTAAAAAAAAAAGAAGGAAGCTGGATGCGGTGGGACACACCTGTAGTCCCAGCTACTCGGGAGGCTCAGGCAGGTACTATGTTCAATAGTGTATTCCCTTCTTTTAAGGAAGAAGAGAACCTAATGCATATTAGATATTTTTCACAGAAAAGAGAGAGTTGAAGGAAAACTTATTAATCAGAGTATCTTATTCCTCAGCCGCTCTTAATAACTTATTCACATGACTTTGTTATTGGTTTGGTATCAGGATAATGGCAGCTCATAAGTTATCTTTTCTGAAAGTGTTTCTTTAGAGGATTGGTATTTTTTCCTTTAAATGTTTGGTAGAATTCACTAGTGAAGCCATCTAGGACTGGAGTCCTCTCCTCTCCTCTCTCCCCTCTCCTCCCCCTCGCCCTCCCCTTTCCTCCCTTCCCCTCCCCTGCCCCTCCCTTTTACTTCTTCTCCCCTCGCCTCTCCTCTTCCTCCCCTCTCCTCCTCCCTCCCCTCCCCTCTCCCTCCCCTCCTCCCCTCCCCTCCCTCCCCTCCCCTCCTCCCCTCCCCTCCCCTCCCCTTCCCCTCTCCCTCTCCCCTCATTCCCCCCTCTCCTTCTGTTCTTCTTTTCTTTTCTTTTCTTCTTCTTTTCTTTTCTTTTCTTTTCTTTCTTTTCTTTTTTTGAGACAGAGTTTTACTCTTTGCCTGGAGTAGAGTGCCATGGCATCAGCCTAGCTCCCAACAACCTCAAACTCCTAGGCTCAAGCATTCCTTCTGCCTCAGCCTCCTGAGTGGCTGGGACTACAAGCATGCACCACCATGTCCGCCTAATTTTTTCTATATATTTTTAGTTAGCCAATGAATTTCTTTCTATTTTTAGTAGAGACAGGGTCTCACTCTTGCTCAGGCTGGTTTTGAACTCCTGACCTTGAGCAATCCTCCTGCCTTGGCCTCCCAGAGTGCTAGGATTACAGACGTGAGCCACTGCACCGGGGAGACTGGAGTTTTCTTTATTGGGAAATTTTTTTACTTAAGAGTCAAATTCTTTAGTAGCTATAAGGATATTCAATTTTTTCTTGTTTTTTAATCACTTTTGGAGGTCTGTCTGTCACAAAAATCTCTAAGTTGTTGCATATATTGGCATACAGTTGTTGATGATGTTCCCCCTCTTTTTTTGTTCTTGTTTTTTTTTTTTTTTTTTTTTTTTGAAATGGGGTCTTGCTCTGTTTCCTAGGCTAGAGTGCAGTGTTGTAGTCATACATAGCTCACTGCAGCCTCAAACTCCTGGGCTCAAGAGATCCTCCCAGCTGAGTCTCCCAAAGTACTGGGATTAACAGGTGTGAGTCACTGTGCCCAGCCTACATTTCATTTTTAGTGAAAGTTACAGGAAACAGCATTGTAGAATATTGAGAAAACTTCTCAGAAAGTTGTGCTTTGTACCATGGCCGAATTGTTATGGTAATTTCTTGGCAAAAGTTATTTGGAGCTGTGTGACCTTTGACCTCCATTGGAGCGGTCCTAAGGGCAGGGCAGAAGATCGGGATAAAGGGACACATAATTTTCATGACAAAATAGCCATGTTGTTGTGTATTCATTAGAAAACATTTTTGGTATAAGCATAGTATATTTTATTTAATTGTATGACTTAATGAGGTTTCTATGATCGTTGTTTTTGTCACTTTTGTTCAGGAAGTTTATCGGAATTCTATGCCAGCTTCCAGTTTCCAACAGCAGAAGCTTCGAGTCTGTGAAGTCTGCTCTGCCTATTTAGGTCTTCATGATAATGACAGACGACTGGCTGATCATTTTGGGGGTAAACTGCACCTGGGATTTATTGAAATAAGAGAGAAACTTGAAGAATTAAAGGTACATTGGTATCCCTCACCTCATCCTATTTTAGCCACTTGTGTTTTTTTAAATCTATATTAGTTGTCTTTTTATACAATATTCTGGGCTGTGATTCAGTTAGGTTTAGTATCTGTTAACATATCAAACTGAATGGTGTAGGATTATAAATGGAGATCCAATTTAGTTTAGTAAATGATGTCTGAGAGGTAGACTTTTAAATAACATCCTGTTATTTTGGGAGGTAGCATTTTATGGTGATATGAATTAGGAAACTCTCAAACTGGTTTCAGCACTAATTAATTTCTATAAATCCCTGAAATTTATCTTGTTATCTTTCTTTTCAATAAAGCCAATATAATATTAATATATTTACTTATAGGAAGATTGAAAAAATGGGCCCAATATTTATGTGAAATATTTTGCAGTTCTTCACTAAAACAAGTTTGTAGAACCTCTAAGAGTTATTTTATGCTTTTGTCCCCATTTCAGAAAGGATTTATGATGAAACCTACTTAATAAAAAGAATAATCAGGCCAGGTGTGGTGGTTCACGCCTGTAATCTTAGCACTTTGGTAGGCTGAGGTGGGAGGATTGCTTGAGGCCAGGAGTTCGAGACCAGCCTGAGCAAGAGCGAGACCCGGTCTCTACAAAAAATAGAAAAATTGGGTGGGTGTAGTCACACACTTACTTGTAGTCCCAACTACTTGGGAGGCTGAGGTGGGTAGATCGCTTGAACCCAGGAGTTTGAGGTTGCAGTGAGTTATGATCATCCCACTGTGCCAGGGAGTGGCAGCAAAACCACGGAGACAGCAAAACCCTGTCTCCCAAACAACAAAAAAATAATGCCAATATAGGGCTACCTTTATAAGAATTGTGGCACTGTAGCGGATTTTTCATGAATTGAGAACTGACTCAAGATGGGAAAACATTGGGTAGTCACTTTGTATGTAATTATTAGCTCTAGAATTAACACAAGATCTATTGCTTTACTTTTAAAATAATGTGGAATTAGAAAACGTCCAGGGATGTCTCCATATTTGCATTTAACAGTGGGCTCTTAGTATTCTGAGTAGCTGGGATGATCTCAAGCAATTTTTTTAAAAGTCAAAATGAGTTTTAGTATAGCAAATGGTCGTTGAGCTCTAAGTTAAAACTAAGTGGTACCTATTTGGGAGTCTCTGCAGATAAAGGCCTAGCAATAGAACTCTAGCATTTTACTTATATCTTTAAAAAGCAGCAACAATAGAATGGTAGGTAGAAGTAGGTGAAGACATTTACATATTAGAAATCATAGGGCATGGGAATTTATTGTGATTTGTAATAGTTGATGTTTGTTTAAAAGTACAAAATAATGCTAGACATTATCATATTAGAAATCACAGGGCATGGGAATTTATTGTGATTTATAATAGTTGATGTTCTTTTAAAAGTACAAAATAGTGCTGGAAAACATTCAGAGTGCAAAAATTTTGTAGAAGTGATTTTGAAATGTCATAACAAAATCGCAGAGGCTGGGCACGGTGGCTCATGCCTATAATTCTAGCACTCTGGGAGGCTGAGGAGGGAGGATCACTTGAGGTCAGGAGTTCGAGACCAGCCCGAGCAAGAGTGAGACCCTGTCTCTACTAAAAATAGAGAAATTAGCTGGCCGTGGTGGCCTGCACCCATAGTCCCAGCTACTTGGGAGGCTGAGGAAGGAGGATTGCTTGAGCCCAGGAGTTTGAGGTTGCTGTGAGCTAAGCCCTCTAACTGTGAGTCATGGCATTCTAGCCTGGGTGACAGAGCAAGACTCTGTCTCAAAAAAAAAAATCATGGAAAAATATGAAATTTTCCACAAAAGGGGAAAAGATTTTAGAAAGCAGACTTGTAAACCTAATATCAATAATTATACCTCGCAATACTTTGAATTGCTCTTAAACAGATTTTTTTATTTTAAAATATTAATTAAGGGGATACAAATGTTCTTATTACATGGATATCTTGTATAATGCTTAAGTCAGGGCTTTTGGTGTGCCCATTGGCAGAATAGTGTTCATTGTACCCAATAGGTAGGTTTTGTTTTGTGGTTTGTTGGTTTTTTTTGAGAGAGAGTCTTATTCTGTTGCCCGGGCTAAAGTGCCGTGGTGTCAGCCTAGCTCACAGCAACCTCAAACTCCTGGGCTCAAGTGATCCTTCTGCCTCAGCCTCCCAAGTAGCTGGGACTACAGGCATGCACCACCATGCCCGGCTAATTGTTTCTGTATATTTTTAGTTGGCCAATTTATTTCTTTCTATTTTTAGTAGAGACAGGGTCTCACTCTTGCTCAGGCTGGTTTTGAACTCCTGACCTTGAGCGATCCACCCGCCTCAGCCTCCCAGAGTGCTATGATTACAAGCGTGAGCCACCCAAGCCCAGCCCCAATAGGTAGGTTTTATCCCACACCCCCCCTGAAACAGATTTTGATGGTAATTATACTATATTGGAAACCAGATACAGTAAAGGTTAGGATTAAGATTGGACCCAGTAAATATCCTTCTCATTTACTTTTATCATTTTTAAGAGAGTTGTAGCTGAGAAGCAGGAGAAAAGAAACCAAGAACGCCTGAAGCGAAGAGAAGAAAGGGAGAGAGAAGAAAGGGAGAAGCTGAGGAGGTATGGAGTAATGGTTTAAGTATTTGAAATTGAATCTCCTTGTTTCTAAAAAGAGATATGATTGATGTAAGATATTAATTGTTGTAAATGTGTTATGAGACACAGGAAATTTCTGCTTACTTTGAAAAAATATTACCATGTGAATTATACAAGTATATAATTATATAACTATATTAACTTTTGACAATTTAATTTCTTTTTATTTATTTATTTATTTATTTTATTTCGGCATATTATGGGGGTACAGATTTTAAGGTTTCAATAAATGCCCATTTCCCCCCCTCCCCCCAAAAGTCTGAGTCTCCATCATGACCATCCCCCAGAATGACCATTTAATTTCTTCAAATTTCTTTCAAAATGTGTGGAAGAGTGAATAAAGAAAGAATGCTTCATATCTTTGTCTTATAAGATTTATAAAAAACCTTTTTCTAGCCCTCTTAATTTTTCATACTGGGCTAGGTTTGTATCAGGTTGGCATAGAAATATTTTTGTTTTTATGATATATACGTGTTAATATAAGATTTAGGTTTTTTGTTTCATTTTTTTTTACATTGAACTTTGGCCCCTTATTTTCTCAATTCTGGGAGCCGTAACCATAAAATATCCATTAATTTAATAATAACTAAATGTACACATTCTGCTTTTATTAGTATTCATTAATTGATAAAATCCTAATTCTTCATAGTACATGAATAGTTCATGCTCGCTTCTTCCAAGCTGTGAGCATATTATACTCAGTATCTCAAGAAGTTTAAACAGACTTTATGTTACATATCTTGTGGCAGGTAAGCTTTTGTCATTGTAAAGACAAAATTAAAGTTACATTTGGATATCTTCCCTTTTTAGGATAAGTGATGTCAATCTTCTTTGGAGGGAGAGGTGTGCGTGTGTGTATTTTCATTTACCCCAGAGCTTCATCTTCTTCTTCTCTTGTGTACACTAAGACCATACGGGAATGTTGCCTAGTATTGTAATATTTAAGACAATATAAATGGAATTTTTTTAAATAATAGAAAACTTTCACTTCAAATAAATGACATTTTAAGTAACATTGGAAATCTCAGTTTAAGATTCAGTTGAGGTGACGGTCAAATGAGAACAAAAATTCTTTGAAAGGACTGTGCTTTCATATCGTAGATGATAAGAAAGTACATTACATCTTATTCCTTTGTCTGCCAGCTGGCAAGTTTCTTTTGACATTGATTATAAAATGTAACCTTATTTCAAAATTATTTAGAAAATTTTAAAACTCTGAATTTGAGGAAATGAAACTAAGCATGGAAGATGAGGAAATTAGAAGATAGTATAAAATTACACAAGATAGGATTCCCACTATGGTTTTTTTGTTTTGTTTTGTTTTGTTTTTGAGACAGTCTCACTTTGTTGCTCAGGCTAGAGTGAGTGCCCTGGCGTCAGCCTAGCTCACAGCAACCTCAAACTCCTGGGCTCAAGCAATTCTACTGCCTCAGCCTCCCAAGTAGCTGGGACTACAGTCGTGTGCCACCATGCCCGGCTAATTTTTTGTATATATGTTTTTTAGTTGGTCAGTTAATTTCTTTCTATTTTTGGTAGAGATGGGATCTCGCTGAGGCTGGTTATGAACTCTTGACCTCGAGTGATCCGCCCGCCTCGGCCTCCCAGAGTGCTAGGATTATAGGCGTGAGCCACCACGCCCGGTTGGCACTATGGTTTTGAAAAGGATAAATGGGGGGGAAATCACAGTCATTTACTGAGCATTTATTGTATGCCAGCTACTATAAATAAGGAATTTAGCTATATTCTTCTGATCCTTACAAACCCCCACCTGCAGTATGATTTCTGTTACTGATCCTTTTTTGCTAATGACAGACTAAGCTGAAGGAGGATATATAACTTACCCAGGCCACACAGATGGTGAATGGTAGAGCCAGAGTTAAAACTCACATCTGGCTGAGCCCAAAGCCATGCTTCCAACCATGATAAATGTTATCCACAAAAATCCCTGTGGTGTCCTAATAACCAAAATATTAAGTATTACTCTTCATTGAGTATTAACTGTGTACTAGGAAATATGAAGAGTGCATTATGTAAGGTGTTTCTCGGCTGGGTGTGGTGGCTCACACCTGTCTAGCACTTTGGGGGAGGCCAAGGCAGGAGGATCAGTTGAAGCCAGGAGTTTGAGACCAGCCTGAGCAAGATGGTGAGGCCCCCATCTCTACAAAAAATAGAAAAATTAGGCAGGCATTGTGGCAAGTGCCTGTATTCCCAGCTACTCAGGAGGATGAGGCAGGAGAATCACATGAGCCCAGAAGTTTAAGGCTGCATTGAGCTATAATCATGCCACTGCACTCTAACCAGGGCAACAAAGCAAGACTTTGTCTCAAAAAACCAAGGAAAACCAAAAAACTACAAAAACAGAGTATCTCATTTTATGTGAAGAAACAGATGTTATAAGATTGAGCTGGGTATTCTAGGGATTATAGTATTAGGTCATAGCTCCAAAATGTATGTATTTGAGATCATAGAAATTTCACTGTTTCCAGAAGGGAAGAAAAAGAAATGACAGAGATATAAAAAGATTTTTTCCAGCCTGTGAAGAAGTGGTTTCTGGATAATTATGTAGTTGCGATGTACAGGTTGAGCATCCCAAATCCAAAAATCCAAAATTCACCATGCTCCAGAATCTGAAACTTTTTGAGCACCAACATGATGCTTGAATGAAATGCTTATTGGAACACTGTAATTATAGCACATGTTTCAAAATGGGAAAAAATCTGAAATCCAAAACAATTCTTGTTCCAAGCATTTTTGGATAAGGGACATACTCCACCTGTATTGTGTTTTACTCTTCCAGGAAGATAATCTTTAAGAGCTGGTGTCCTGAGTTAAGGGAGCTCTTGCAACATGGAGACATCTGTAGAGTTTGTAGTGCATTTTGAAAAACTTTGCTTAGCACACACTTTATATTTATAAAATTAAGATAAAAATTAGAAATCAATAATAACAGCACATTGCACTTTAGAATTTATTTATATCACTTTTCTAAAAATAGGTATTTTTTTTTAGGTCCCGATCACATAGCAAGAATCCCAAAAGGTATGTATACACAAGATAAGTAGTAAAGCTGTGTTTTTCAAAGATGGTTTTTATAGATTAAAAAATCTTGTAAAAATTGAGACAATAAATTAGTACTCATTTTCTATTGTAGCTCAATTTTCAGCATTGTTATTTGAGGAGAAACTCAAAAAAGATATTCACGAGCTACAGTTTGATTGGTGTAAAATTGTATACAGTGCTCTGGAGTTATAGGAGAAAGCTAAAAATATTTCAAAATATTTCTTTGAAATTTTTAGTAGCTCAGAGTAAATATGTAACAGGATTTATTTTTAAAAATTCATTCTTAGAGGTTATAGTTATTGAAAACACAAGTAGATAAATTTTTGAGAGATCCACTGTAGGTTGAGGGAAACTAAAATGTTTAGTATATGCTACAATCTTTATATGAGTTTATTACTCAGCTGTTTGTACAGTAATCACAAAAACTTTGATTTTTAAAAGGGGAACTTATAGCCTTGAGGAAAAGAAAAAGATAACACTTTCTTTTGACTTTCAGCGTTATTATCTGGGGGCTTTTTGGAGTCTTTATAGTTTTTACTAGTTGCTGATAAATTTTTTCTGTCTAGGAAAGTTAGGGAAACATGTTCTACTTCATTATTTGTTCTTTCTCAATTCTTCATTTGCTATTCTCATTCCTGTTGAGCCTTTCTTCATGAATCCATTCCCATTCGGAATGCCGTCTCATTCTTTTCCAAATCCTACCATTCTTCTTGTTTAGATCACATCTTCTTTTGAAACCTTCTGAGTACTCTAAACTCTAGAGAGTAACTATTACCCAAGAACCTTTCCCTAAAAAGTAGAGCATTTGTTACAGAAAAAAAACTCCTGTGTTTATATTAGCTATACTACCCTTAGTACTTTGTAGAATCTTTTAATGGTATTTTTGCTTAAAACACTAAAAAACTAAATAACATTAATAAATGGGACCAGTTTTGTCAGCAGATTTATATTATTGTTTCTCAGATCCAGGCTTAGAAGTAGAAACATGCTTGTTGGAAAATTATGCTCATGTGTTAAATTACGATACTGCTTCTTTACTGGTAGATTAATACAAGCCAGTCCCTTTGTTGAAATGATAAAGTATTTGTACAAAGAACATCTTTAGATATTTGCATCAGAAATTTAGTTCTACCATTCTAGTCCTGTTGCCTTGATATTACAAGAGCCTCTTTCTTAACTGGCCTTATTTCTGTGCTTGCCCCTTCTCCTTCTCATTCTGATTTTTACATGTTGGCCAGAACGAGCCCTTTAAAAAAAAACACACCACCATATCATGTCAGTCTGCTGCTTCAAACCCTTTAGAGGTTTTTTCCCATCTCATTCATAGCTAACGTATCTTTATTTATAGCTTCCATATCTGCAGAGACTCCTTTCTAGAGTGTAAGCTCATAAGAGGTCAGGGACTTTATTTTATTTGCTGTTCAGTCTCCCTGATACTAGAGAGTTGTACTGGATGTAGAAGGTACTCAGTAAATATTTTTTGAATGGATGAATAATTAACTGGAATTTTTTAAAAGATGAATAAAATTATGCATTGGAAGAAAGATTCATAATAGCTCAAAATGAGTGGTTAAACAAAATACCATTTGATAAAACTTGTATTGAGAGAGTTTTATATTCTTTTCCTCCTGCTCCTTTTTGGAAATATTCAACTGTGGTTGATGCTAAGTCTATGACATGTACCTTTCTTTGACTATAATGTTGATGTAAGCTGAATGCTTTTAAACGCTATTTATAATAAAATAATCATTTGAAAATAAACTCAGTTTGTAAACTATATCACTTGTATAATATGCTTTTGAACTTACTATTAATATATCAAATTATGAGAAAACATTTTTTTTTTTTTTTGAGACAGTCTCACTTTGTTGCCCAGGCTAGAGTGAGTGCCATGGCATCAGCCTCGCTCACAGCAACCTCAAACTCCAACTCCTGGGCTCAAGCAATCCTGCTGCCTCAGCCTCCCGAGTAGCTGGGACTACAGGCATGTGCCACCATGCCCAGCTAATTTTTTCTATATATATATATTTTTTAGTTGGTCAATTAATTTCTATTTTTAGTAGAGACGTGGTCTCGCTCAGGCTGGTTTCAAACTCCTGACCTCGAGCAATCCCTCGAGCAGTCCGCCTGCCTTGGCCTCCCAGAGTGCTAGGATTACAGGTGTGAGCCACCACGCCCGACCAAAATATCACATTCTTAAAGTGACTTTAAAAAGTTTAATATCTTTATTGAGGTATAATTTACATACTATGCCATCGGACTCATTTTAAGTGTATAAGCCAGTGATTTTTAGTAAATTTAAAGTTGTGCAACTATCACCACAATTCAGTTGAGAACTGTTTCCATCACCGTTAAAGTGACTCTTTTAAGAGAATTGCTTGTGTATTTTCCCTCATTTTCTGTCAGATGTTTATGTCCTCTGTGTGCCCTTCTTATCCTTACCAAACACACCCACAACTTAGTTTGTGACCCGATCGAGGCTACAGAAGTGTCCTTTCCTTCTCTACTTGATGTGTACTCATTAGAGATAAATAAATATATATATATATATGGCAATTTAAGTTGTCTAAAATGATATTTACAAGTTTTTTTTCTTCCCAAATAATGTGCTGCCTGAACTGAGAACTGTCTTACTGTGTTTGATTACACTGCAACTGGGCATATTGTGGGCACTCAAAACTTACTTCTATGGTTACATAACCTTTCTAATTTAGATAGGTAGTAATTTATCATAAATAGTATTCTTTTTTTACCAGTGAAGCTAAAAACGAAATCAAATCTTGTCATCTTGTAGATCCAGGTCCAGAGAGCATCGCAGACATCGGTCTCGCTCTATGTCACGGGAGCGCAAGAGGAGAACTCGATCCAAATCTCGGGAGAAGCGCCATCGCCACAGGTCCCGCTCCAGCAGCCGCAGTCGCAGCCGTAGCCACCAGAGAAGTCGGCACAGTTCTAGAGATAGGAGCAGAGAACGATCCAAGAGGAGGTATTGATGTGTCGATCAGAGGATGTGGAGCTACCTTTATATTTTAGAGTTGTTTGTTTACTTATGTTACTTATGTTTAGAGCATAGATTATTGGTTTAAAACTTGCATCTGGTAATATGTACACATTTGTGTGTATGTGTGCAAACACTTTTTTCCATGATTATATGGTTTGTTCTGAAAAAAATATACTTATGAGCCAAAGCAAGAAATTGGAACTGGTATGTGCAGAGGTTATTGCTTGTCTTGGGAAAAAGTTCTTTACAGGCAAATAATTTTTGGTACCAATACTTACAGTTTTTTCAATATGTAGTAGCAAATTAAGGGCTCTGAGTAGTCCTTTCATTAATACTGTTTTCTAGACTTATTTGAACTGGTATACTTTTTCAGAGTAGACACATTCTAGTATAGTCTTGTTTAATCTGCACTATAGATATTCATTGTTATATACCTTTAGCTTGGCAGGGCAGATTCAGAATCTTATGGAAGCTATAAAACTTCCTTGGTATAATGAGAAATCTCAAAAGGGACAGACACAGAGTAAGGTATGTTTAAGGACCTGAATATCTATTGAGAAACGGACAAAGGATTAGAGTTTGGTAGAGGAGTTTAGCACTCATTGTCGATAAAGACCAAGCTCCCAAAATTTCTCAGGTCACATGATGGCCCTTAAATCAGGTAATATCTATGCAACACAAACCATGCTTAAAATGGCCTTTTTCTTGACAACTAAAGCAGCTAAAGCATAAACATTTTTTGAGTATCTAGTACATAGCAGTCGTACATTTTCTGTGGATTATAAAGTCCATAATAGAATCCACAGAAAGCTGTTAAAAATCTTTATTTTTTTTCACTCTCAACTAGCCATTCCCTGAAGTCATTTATAAGCTGAGTTTATTAATAGAATGTCAATATTTTGTTTATTTCTTCTATTCTAGCCTTGTTCTAAGTAGTCCTTAAGATGTCTTTAATCAATTAGAATTGTATACTTTCTACTGTACTAACAGTCAGTAATAACATAGTTGAACAACTATTCAAGTTGCTCTATGAAGTTCACTGTGAGAACACAGGACTGACATCTTTGACAATAGACTGGTATAAAACAAAATATAATAAAGTGCTAAACTATATGTCATAGAATAAATGATCTAAGAGTTTAGATGAGGGAAATACTAGAGTAATCAAAAATGGTGTCAGGTAGTGATAAAACTTGAATAGTCATAATTTGAATAGGTAGAATCAGGTAGGAAAAAGATTTCACGTAGAATGACTGTCACAGGCAAATGCAGAGAATGATCAGGGAATTTGTACGGGATAGTGTGTTGTAGGCCACTTGTCTCATGCTCTTGAAACTGAATTTTGGGACCTACCCTAATGCAGTGTTCAGAAAAAGGCATTTTTTAAAAATTCTCTTTGAGGCTTGCCTGCACACTAAATTTTGAGAATCATCCTGCTAGGTAATGGAAAGTCTAGATAATTTCTTGTGTTGATCTGCCCAAGTGTCATTGTTTCTGGTGTTAGTGAACTCAAATGTCTTTATTGGTGGTGGGGATGGGCATGAAGTCCCTTTGTCTGAGACTGTGTTATCTTAGCCCCTGGTGCTTCCTGCACTTATGAAGTTGTATGGGAAATTTTTCTACCGTACTACATGACACCCCTCACGTTTTAGATTTTAGCATGTTCACAAGGAGGATTATTTTTGTAAAACTATTAAAAGTTTTGCTTTTCTCAAGATCACTTTTCATCTTTGAATTCAAATTATTCTCTTTTAAAGCATCATTGTTTTTACCAAAAATTAGCAGATAATTGCTGTTAAAACTTCGTGTGATTACATAAGATGACAAGTTATTGCTACATGTTTAATTTTTCCAGGTGAAAATTCCTTTTATGTTTTGCCCCTTTCCTTATCCTACTGTGAAATACTGGTGTCTGATAAAAGTAGACTGTTTTTTTGTGACCTTTTCCTGGCAACAATTACCATGGTAAATAAGGACCATTTGCAGTTTTCTGCTCTGTTCAGACATATATAGTGCAGACTTCAGAGTGAGACTACGTGGGTTCAATGGCCTTGGCCAAGTAACTTAATTTCCTACCTCTCTACCATCTATTAAGTAGAAATAATAAAAGTACCTGCTTTACTAGGATTATTGGTAGTTTCAGTTACATAGTATATGGAAACTGCTTATAAGTGGGACATTGTAATCTCAACAAAACATTAGTTGATTCTCATCTCATAGTTGTATTTCAGTCACTATTACTGACCTCTGGGACCCTTATTCTTAGCTAGACTCACATTGTGAATTTTTTTAACATATCTTTTAAGTTTATTAAAACCTTCAGTAGAATGCTCGAAGTTGACATTATTTAATGTTATAGCCTTTTTTGTTTTACCCTCAACTATATTTCTAAAACTGAGTATAGTAGTATTTTAATTTTTTTCCTATTATTCAGATTCTTGTCAGTACCCTCAGATCCTAATTCTGAACATGGGTTAAGTGAGATAATTATGTAAAAGTACTGTGTCACCCGTAAAGAACCAAATAAATGTTACTGATTCATTCTAGATGTTGAAAGTAGAAGATTCCATATTTATTCTGATCCCATAATATCCTTTTGTTTTCCTTCTGATTAAATCTCTGATATGAGCTTGTTTTGTTATTATTTACCTTTCATATTGAAATTAGGAATGGAGAAGGTAGTAACCAAAACTGTTAATAGTTATGGTTAATCAAGATTTAGTACAGTGTGAGCATCTTTATATGTCTTTTATTCTTTTTTTTTTTTTTTCCCTGTTGGTTGAGTGAGCTAACTCAGGGGAGGAATAAAGCAGATTTTTGAAATAATAAATAGTTATTTAAGCCATATTATTGAGTAGTTCTATTGTCTTAGTCGGGTGTTGGCAAACTGTGGCCTATAGGCCAAATCTGGCCCGTAGTCTGTTTTTATACAGCCAAACAAGCTGTAGATGGTTTTTATGTTCTTAGAGGGTTGATAAAAAGGAAAGTATACTACTACAGAGACTATATATGACTGCAGCGCCTCAGATATTTACTGTCTGGCCAGACAGCAAACAGAAAAGGTTTGCTTACCCCTGTTCTGTTCTAAGTCATTGATTGACCTCCAATTTGGAATCTATTCTATTTTGTAAATTTTTGATAATACCTTTTACTTTTTAAAGCTATATATTTATATTGCATACCCTTTTTTATGAATTGGAGAAGCTTTGTGGTTGTCTCTGAGACAATGAGAGTCATTATTTGCCTTATGCTTTTTGACCCTCAGCTATTTGTGTTCACCCATCTTTGAGTTCCTTATCAACTTGGGTCATGACCTATCCTCTCAGAAAACTAACTTCTCTGTCTTGGGTATATTCTTCTCTATATCTTCAGCTATCAATATCCTAACATCCTATTCTTTCATTTGGGTTTTTGGGTTTCCCAACATATTTTGCTCCTCAAATTAATATTTTTCAGATCCTCAAAAGAAAGATTCAGAGACCAAGACTTAGCATCACGTGACAGAGACAGGAGTTCAAGAGACAGATCACCTCGTGACAGAGATCGAAAAGATAAGAAGCGGTCCTATGAGAGTGCTAATGGCAGATCAGAAGACAGGCGGAGCTCTGAAGAGCGCGAAGCAGGGGAGATCTAACTAGTGGTGTACATATCTTCAATCCTTAAGCTTCCTATGGAGTTACATACATTGTTTAGTTTACAGCTGTTCAGGTTGACAGTGAGCAGATCCAGACACCGATCCAGCTAGGCTAGATGGACAGTATCTAACTTGATCTGAACTGAACCTGTTTTCCTTGATGAAGCCTAAAACTACATCCATAGTTTCTGGTGAACCTGTAATACAATTCTGAAAGTACCGTTTTATATAAGACACTGATCTCTTTATTCTTTCAAGTAGGAGTGATAGTGAACAAATTGTGTTACCTGCCTTGGGATTTTTTGAACATTTGTAAAATGCTATCTTCTTTTCTAGTCTAAACAGCAGCAGCTTTGGAATTGTTCTTTTTAATTTTTCTTCCTCTGACTTTTGTATCCCATAATACCTGCACCCTCCAATCGTAAGAGAAAAGGGGACAGGGAAGCAATATAGCTTCTGTTCTAAGTAAGGTTCTATTCCCTTTATTAACTTGCTGATTACAGTTCAGAGCATTTATACTGGAATGTGTGCTGGAGAAATTTATAATATTGGGGTTTCGTGTTTGTTTAACGGTGCCTACTTAGAGTTGGAAGTTGAACAGCTGTCGCATTACATACTTTTGCTTTTTTATTGAAATTTTGAAATCAAACTTGTCTTGATTTTTCTGTTCTATTGAATTGCTATGTTCAGGATGTTCTGTGGGGGGTGGGGGCAGGGACTTTTTCGTAATAAGCACTTGTTTTATTTTGTGTGTGTGGAGTATAAAAGCTACACCCTTATTGTAAAAAATAATAATAAAATGAAAAACAATCGCCACCATTATTAAACTAACTTGTCTAGTACATTGTCACTAGAATTATTTGCTGTGGGCATTTCCTCTATTCTGTTACATCATTAACTGTGCCTTACTGTGCAGGGCACGAAAGGAAATAAATATGTACCTGCAAAGATTCCAGATGAACTGTTGCCCCACCTGGTCTCCTTGCTGACTGTATTCCAGCCACTTCAGGGTTGTCTGGGGTATTTTTGTTTGGTTTTCTTCTCATTCAACAGATCTAAATAAAAATAGTGTACATGTATCCAACATAATGAGACTAAGTTTCTGCACTGAAGAGCTGTATACCCACTAGTGAATTAAACTATAGTTGGCAGATATCATCTGTGATTCTAGAAAATGAGGAACAAAAATTCATTAAGTCATGAAATTAGTATGTATGAGTATAGTTAACTAGGATCACCTTTCAAGAACTATTCATGTCTTTGGGCCCCAAGTTTAATAGATTCCATGTGACAGAGACAAGTGGCCTATGTGTATGTGCAAGAAAGAACACAGACTAAGACTAAGGCTGTTCTAGTGAGAATCAGATTTATGTCGAAAAAGGACACACATCAAGTCCCCAGTTTACCAAGCTGGGTGGCATTAACTGAAGGTTTGCTGCCATATGTGGTTCCATGCATTCAGTTTATATGGAGTTTAATTTTAGAGACCCATCTGCATAAATGGCCCATTTCTCTTTTATTTTTGGGTGCTGAGGAATTGTTTTGTATCTGCTTTGTTACTGGTAGTCTGTGCTGTTAATCCTTACAAGCACTTGGGATTTAGTACCTGGGGGTATGGAGTAAGATTAAAAGGGTTAACTGGCAGGTGCAAGGAAGGATGTCTAGGACCTTCCCCAGTATAGTTAGTGGCATAGCTGGAGTTAGAGGTTGAACTCTAAAACATATTTTAAAAATATGTTTCATTAGATTTGTGTAATTAGAATGGAATATATAGGTGTTCATGTCTTTGTTATCAGCTGGTACTACAGTTGTGATTTCAAGCTGTTCTATCTAGGCTATACAGATAGAAGAGGGCAGCAATAGCTCTGTTAGGGCAGTGATTGCCAGTGAAGCACACCATCATCGGGCCTGTGCACCATGGTGGGTCACTTCAAGTGCATGGTGCTTCATATGAGTCATCCGATTTTCAAAAATCCTTTTAGAACAAATGGGTTGCTTGGATACTTCTTATATTTGGACTTTCCAATAAGCAGTCTACATTTTTTATTAATCATCCTTGAGACAGGCCAGACACTCTGAATTAGAATAACCTTAAAATCTCAGTATTGCTTTCTCATACACACATAATTTTTTCTTCTTCCCCAGACCCTCTAGCTCTGGGTAGAATGCCATGGCATCAAGTCTAGCTCACAGCAACCTCAAACTCCCAGACTCAAGCAATCCTCCTGCCTTAGCCTCCCAGGTAGCTGGGACTATAGGCATGCGCCACCATGCCTGGCTAATTTTTCTGTTTTTAGTAGAGATGGGGTGTCTCTCCTGCTCAGACTGGTCTCGGACTCCTGACCTCAAGCCATCCTTCCTCCTCGGCCTCCCAGAGTGCTAGGACTATAGGCGCGAGACCTCACATGACCCAAACATAATTTTTGGTACTTTTCTTTGTTAGCTGGTAACTGAGGTCGAACGGAAAACTTAGTCTTTTTGTTTGAGACAGAGTCTCACTGTTGCCCAGGCTAGAGTTCCATGGCGTCAGCCTAGCTCGCAGCAACCTCAACCTCCTAGGCTCAAGCAGTCCTCTTGCCTCAGCCTCCTAAGTAGCTGAGACTACAAGCATGCGCCATAATGCCTGGCTATTATTTATTTGTTCCTATATACATATTAATTGTTCAGCTAATTTCTTTCTATTTTTGTTTTTTAGTAGAGATGGGTCTTGCTCTTGCTCAAGCTGGTCTTGAACTCCTGAGCTCAAACGATCCTCCCACCTCGGCCTCCCAGAGTGCTAGGATTACAGGCGGGAGCCACTGCACCCGGCCTCACTGACTGTTTTTACTTTCAGTAAGGCCTCTTTCATTTTTCTGTCATCAAGCAATCCCTCAAAGCTGACTTGCTGAGCTGTGTCAACAGCATCAACTGAAATTGAGAGAAAAGGCCTCTATTTTTAAGTAGACTTAAGACTTCCTTACCTCTGATTATTAAGCCTAAAACCAAAATTAATTTATCTTTGCCAAGTTCCATTTTAAGATTCTATTTTAGTATGTTAATAATAGCTATCAACATTGGCCTTTTGAGCCACAGACAAGCATCCATTCATTATAATTTCCACAAACATTTTTACCATTTGATGTGGTAATAAATTCTTAGCTGGGAATGGTGGCTCACATCTATAATCTCAGCACTTTGTGAGGTTGAGGTGGAAGGATCATTTGAGGCCTGGAGTTTGAAATGAGCCTGAGCAACATAGTAAGGTCCCCATCTCTACAAAAAATGTTTAAAAAATTATTAATAGCTGGGCATGGTGGTGCAATCCTGTAGTCCCAGCTACCTGGGAGGCTAAGGCAGGGGGATTATTTGAGCTCAGGAGTTGAAGGCTGCAGTGATCTGTGATTGCACCACTGCACTCCACTGTAGGCAATATAGTAAGACCTTGTCTCTAAAAAAATTTTCTAAAAAAGTACCTTTTAAAATGGTTTTCATGTAATGGTCATATACATGTTTTTTTAAAATAAATGCTGGTGATTATTATTAAAACATGTATAGGTTTTTTAACTTTAAAAATACAAGGAAATACTACATAGTTAAAAAAAAAATACAGATATCTAAGGAACACATATTCAGCTGTTATGGCTATACCAAGTCAAACCATTGAAATGAGTCCCTTCACCTGGTAACTAGCTGCTGCCCTGAGCTGCTTAAAGAGCCTTCCCCCAACCCAAGGCTATCCTCTCTCTCAGGTTTGATGTCTGGCACAGCTGAGAGCCTTCAGAAACTTAGTTTGCCACAACATGCTAGACTGACTTAAGTTTTTGAAAAGCATCTTTGTTTTTTTGTTGTTTTTAGGATGAAAAAGCAAAGCAATTTACATTGTGATTTTATTATACCTTGACTGTTAATAATTAAAATTTCCTAGGATATAAATGAGGCAATTTAAAGTTGCCCATTCTCAATATTTTTCTTTTCACTGCCTGTTCTTATTTGAAAAGATAGTCCCTGCCTCAGCGAAGTTAGGAAAGGCTGAAGAGGACTGAAGACATGGTTTCACTGGCAAAGGCTGACCAAAGGGACCAGCTAGGGGTCTACCAGCAAAGTAGTGCTGGGGCCATAGGTGAGCAGGGCCTTGGAGGCTCTGGGGCCAGCAGGAGGTGTTTCTGAACTGTAAGGTGCACCTGTGCATTCTCCAAGTACCAGCAGAAGCAGGGTGTTAGAGGTTTGGGCTCTACAGGCATGTCTGGGGATCAGACTAGGCTAATGGACAGCATAGCAGGGTTTGGGCTAACAGCAAGGCACTGATAACAGAGCTGGGCACTCAGTCAAGCAAGGATCCAGGAGATGGGGCTGGATAGGAGAGGCCAAAAGCTGATGCCAGCACCAAAAATCTGTTCTTGGCTCTCTTTTGGGAGACCGGCTCTCCAGATCCCAAACGCAATTCACTCCTGTCTCTGATACTGTTGGCAACCAGTAACAGAAAATCCTATTCAAATGGGGCTTAAAGAATGAAGGGACTTCATTGGCTCATGTGATCCAGTTGCATGTGCCAGCTGCACCTTGGGGTTAGCACCTGAGCCTTACATCCATATGAGTAGAAACCATTCCATCTTGTGTCTCTAAGAGCAAAGCATCTTTTCCCAGAAGCCCTGGGCAGCCTTTTTCTCACATCCTTGTGCCTGGCTTGGAGACCTAACACAGTAGATGCTCAATGAATGTGGAATGAGTGAAGTGTCTGCTTTTCAACACACATTAACTCAGATAATCTCATTTCATTCGTACAGCAATCCTGTGGGCACTGGTAGGGACTGTATGCTATCACCATCACACCATTTGCCAGAGGAGGCTGAGCCACGTGTAGTGACTAATCAGAAGACAAGACAGTCAGCTGACATCTTTTTCATTCTACACCCAAGGCTCTTCCTGGCATAACACTGGGACAGACATGTCTGGGCTGGGAGTGGCCGGAAGAGAGTAACAAATGTCCAGAGAGGGAACAAAAACGGCCAGAATGAGTGAAGCAGAGGAACTGTACGTACCATTCACTTCCAAAACCCTTCGTTACCGTCTCACACTAGCGTCTAGCTCTCAAGGTGAGAGCAGCACATTAGAGCCCTTAGTTACCCTAATTGGGATTTATGAGTTAGATTTTTTTGGTTTCCTAAAATTTCTTTCCAGAAAGTTTGATACAAATTTCTTGAAATCAGTGTTAAAGTCTATTATGTGATGAAATACAAAGGAGACCAAAGAAATAACCAGTAACAGTGCTTGGACCCTGATTAGATCTTTGTTCAAAAGACAGTGAACTGGGGAAATGGGGATATGGATTAAATGTGAACTCACTGTTCATCTTACTCGGTGTAATGGAATTGCAATTGCATGGAGGAATATTCTTAGGAGATGTGAGCTAAAGTATAATAGCGGGTGAAGTATCAATGTCTGCAACTTATTTTCTAATGATTAACAATTTGATATGGCTCAACACATGCATGTATAAATAAAGACCAAATGTGGCAAGAAGTTAACTGTTAGATCTAAGTAGAGGTCATATGGGTGTTCATTGTCATTTTTTTCAACTTTTCTGTATTTTGAAATTTTTCACAGAGTTCAGGGGGAAACTTAGATTTTCCATGTTAATCAACACTTTTAAATGCTCTGTCCTGGCTGAGATGTGAATGGGTGTTTTTAGGCAGATAAATGAATTATATACGTCCCTACTACAAAGGAAGGGATTACTGATACGGGCAGCATTATGACTATCTTCAAAACACGCTGAGCTAAAAGCCAGACACAAAAGAGTGCATACAGTGATCTTCATAGAAAATAGGTGTTTGAGAAAAAATAGGGTCTGTGAACATTCTGTGTCAGAATCACAAGAGAAGATATACGAATGGCCAACGAGCATATTAAAGGATCCTCAGTGTCAATATCATGAAAATATAAGTTAAAACAACGAAATCGCACCACACATCCAGTAGAATGACCAAAAGTAAAAGGACCGACAGCACCTAGTGTTGATGAAGACGTACAGCAGCTGGAACGCTCATGTCTGCCAATGGGACCGTAAAATGTTACAGCTACTTTGGAAAACAGTTTGACAGTTTC